CGCTGCCCCCTGTGGGATTCCGAGCCTGTCTGTGACTCTTCTCCTGAGGAGAAAGCTTCATCTGCCTCCAGTGGAACATTTGGTGGTTTCGAACTGCTGGCCTTGTGGTTAGCAGCTCCTGGGCGAGTGAGTCATCCAGCACTCCGTGAGGCAGCCACTTTGTTGTCCTCAATGGCAGGTGGGAAGATGGAGGCTTGGGCTGCTAGGTGATTGCCCGAGGCTGCGCCGGGGTGTTGGATGTTGGTGTGACCTGGAAGTGCCATGGCCTCCACAGTGCAGAGTGCCGTGCTCACCCCAGGGTGGGCTCTGGCGAGAGGGCACAACAGGGATGCAGCTTGGACAGGGTCTCCCCCTGATTGTTGTGGAAGGTCGTGCATAAGGTATGGTTTTCCATTGTCCTAGAGCAGAGAGACACTGCCTTTTAGAGGTTCTTAATCGCTTTAACCCAGTCGTTCCATTCCTGAAGACTTAACCCCGAGAATGTGACGCTTTCTGTGCCAAGGAGGTGTATCACAGCTGGGCTGCTCAGCGCTGAGCGTGCCCAATGGGAGAGCGCGCCTAAGTCATGATGCCCCAGGCGAGGGGTAGGACACAGCCGGTTAAAGACATAGGAACATGACCCACCATGGCCATCAAGTCAGTTCTGACCCACAGCCACCCTACATAGGGTTTCCAAGGCTCTAAATCTTGATGGAAGCAGAGAGCTTCATCTTTCTCCCATGGAGTGGCTGGGTTTGAACCACCAATCTTGCGGTTACCCACCCAGCGCTTACCCAACCACAGCAAATTATAGGAATATATCACATGGCACCAGTGAAGTGTTGGTTAAAGCGCGTGTGTTTTCTCATGTCACAGCATTAGCCTTGAATGCTGCCCTTGGGGTGCTGGATTCCAAACCCATACAGTAGGTGTGTTCCTGAGCCTGTTTGAAAGTGCCCTTGGGCCCTGGGCCTGGGCAGGCAGGCTGCCTGCTGGGCCCTACACTCCCCTATCTGCTCTCCTTCTGTCCAGGTGCCGGTCTGAGTGGGCGGCAGGTGCACAGGACGCAGGCCGTCTTCAACCACACCGAGGACTACGTGCTGCTGCCCGACGAGAGGACCATCAGCCTGTGCTGCTGGGACTCTCGCACGGCTGAGCGCCGGAACCTGCTGTCCCTGGGCCACAACAACATCGTGCGCTGCATCGTGCACTCGCCCACCAACCCCGGCTTCATGACTTGCAGCGACGACTTCCGCGCCCGCTTCTGGTACCGCCGCTCTACCACCGACTGAGCCAAAGCTGCCGCCGCTGCCACTGAATCCATAGCCTTCTCAGACTGGACAACAGGACCTCTGTTTACCTTGATGGGAATCCTAGTGGAAAAGGCTGGAGATGCAAGTCTGCCGGGGCCGCCTTCACCACCTCCCCATGTGCTGGGCCCCAGTCGGCTTGTAGGGAGAGGACCCGCTGCTGCCCCTGACTCTAGCGTTTGAAGGAGGACGGCATCCTGAAGGGCTGTGGCGCCCTGGGGAGGAGGGCTGCCTGGTCCAGCTCTGGAAATCTCCAGCTCGGGCCACAGTCAACCCACGCCAGAGACCATCTCGTTTCCATCCTGCCAATCGATCTGTTAATAAAACTCAGACCTGCAACCCCAGTGTGACCTCTTTCTTACTCCAGCACAATTAACGGCCAATTGTTCTCTGGGGAGTTCTAGGTAAATCGCCCCTGCGCCTCCCACACTACCCTGTGGTCACCTGCTGGGCTGCCTGCAGTGAACGCATTTCCGATACTAAATCAGATTGTTAACGAGGTGACCAGGAACAGAGCTGAAGTGTTCTTGCCCCAGAACTGACAGAATCGCCTCGAGTCTGAGAGGCGTTTCACAGGTTGCCTTCCCATTTGGGTATGTACCCCAAAAAACCAATAACCTCGTGATCTGGGTCGGTTTCAGAAAAATGCTAGTTGAAAGTAAAAGTGCTTCCTACTCTAGGAGCTTATAATTCCCCTCGAAGTGGCTGCATAAACATGCTCCTTCCATCCGGACCCTCCACGGTCAGTTTTAACTCTGGTCAGTGAAGCCTGTTTTAAACACGGTTCGCATGGTGCTGGATCGAGCCCGGTGTTCAGGTTTCCAAAGAGCTACCAGTTTAGATAGTTTGACTTGGTGTTGGGATCCCGACCCTCCAGTGTTTGACCTCAGAACCTCTGGGTGCTACTTTTGTGACAGTAAAAGAAACCAACCAGACAGACACTGCGACAGTTCTACCTACGCCCCTTAAAATTACATGCTTTCAGCTTCAGAAACAAGCAGCCATTGAACGTGTCTGCCTTACTCTGCTCTGGCCCACTCACTAGAGTGACCAGCCACACTCCCTGCACAAGTGCCTGGGGAGTCTGCAAGACGGAAAATCCTGGTGCCCGAGTTGCACAGGGTGGGGAGTAAGTCGGCAGTGTCGGGCGCAGGGGGCCTGGTTTCAGGATTTCTGTTTACAAGCTCCGGCCAGGCTTGCATGGCCCCAGAGAGAGGCCCCACACACACATCTCTTTATTTTTAAAACCCTACAATGTGCTGAGCTGGTGGTGCCAAGAAGGTCTTGCTGGCGTGATGCCCCCACCTTGTTTGCCATGCCAGCCAGAACCACACGGGAAATACTGCCCACTCAGGGAGCGGACTTGCAACAGCTCTGTTCTCTTTCAAAGCTGTGCGATTGCGACAACAAAACGTTTTCTATACAAGAAAGCCAGTTCCTTATTTTATTTTTGGGGGGCTTGCTTCTCTGGCCTCCATCTTTGAGCATCCTTACACAGCAGGGAGGGCCCCTTGGATCCCTTCTGGTCCCCTCGGGCGCCGTGCTGGATGTTCTGTCTGCCTCCAGCTGGGCACCCGCCCTCGGATCTGAAAGAGTGTGAGCCCTTGGTCTCTTGGGCGCATTCCGAGAAAGCAACCTCTTGGCTTAGGCAGGGCCAAGTCCCCGGGGAAACTCCCACTCTTCAAGAGGTAGTGGGGATAGACTATCTCCTGGGCCACAGCTTTTATCATTAAACGTTGAGCATTCCCACCACCCAGGGAAGCTCCTTTGTCCTCAGTGTACCATTCTGTGATAGTGGGGAGGGGAGAGACATCGGTTTCTGAATATACAGCAACCCTAGAAAGAGTCTCAATATAAATAAGCTTATTGGTAAACTCAGTCCTACTGAACTGACATCCTAATTGTGTGGATGGCACAGGCCTGGCCAGTGTTTGCTTCTGCCACACGAGGTAAACACACCCCTGACCTAGGAAACACTCATCGGAGGTGACGTTTTCAGATGTCCCTGATTTCCCCGGGGCCTGTACCAGATGCTGCCGAACACAGCATCACCTCAAGAGAGGGGCTTTGTGTACCCCCCTCCAGGCAGGTGTGGCCTACTGTTTACGGCAGTGCAAACCCCTGTCTACACTGCATCCTCGCAGTAAGGGAGAGACAGCAGCCCTGAGACCAACCCCCCAAACAATGAAAAGCTGCAGTAACTAGTCTTGGGGGTTGGTGGTTTATGTGCTAGGGCCTCCTATCATCCTCGTTCGCTGGAGGACTTGCAGAGATATGCTCTGTGGCCCAGCATGTTACTCCTGTGAACACAGCCTGGTCGGAGGCCAGACACCCTCCTCCATGACTGGCAGCACTCCTTCCTGCACGGGGACATAAAGCCTGTCGGCGACACACATGCACCCTGCTTATGTAAAATCCCTATTGCAGATGATGTAATATAAAATCAAACTCACTGCCATCCAGCCAATTCCAATTCAGCGACCCCGTAGGGCAGAGCAGAACTGCCCTTCCAGGGTGGACAGCCTCAATTTTCTCCCGGGGAGCAGCAAGCAGGTGGTTTGGAACTTGTGGTGACCTGGGGTTCCCCCATCAGGCCTATATAGTCTGTAGCTGCCAGTGTGGTTTTGGTTGGCGGCTTGCTTGTTTTTCCTTTTTTAAGAAACCCAAGTTACACTGTGTATCCTCACCTTGTAAAAGCCACATTCTGTCACCGTGATGTCTGCCTGTTGAAACGCTGGCATCAAGTTGTCACCAGCCTCACTACAAAAGGCCCTGTGCACATGAGTTTATTGTTTCTGTGTTGTAATAAGGAGCCCTGGTGACGCTATCAGATCAGTGTCGGGATGCTCGTCGCAGGTCGGCAGTTCAAGCCCACCACCGCTCCTCGGGAGAAGGAGGAAGCTGCCTGCTCCTGAAAAGATTTACAGCCGCGGGAACCCTCGATAGGGTTGCAATCAACCCCATAGCAGTGGGTATGGGGTTTGAGGAGCTTAATAGCCACCCTAGCTGTCATTAACAGAGACACCGGCACCCATCGCGAGATGCCAGCAAGACAAGCGCCCTTCCTGAGGAGCAGCAGCAGGTCAGTCCTGAGCACGGAGGCCTGTGAACAGCCACTGCCCACTCCCCTTCGTCCTCCGCACAAATGCAACCTAGCACAAGCCCTTTTAAAACGTCTCCAGCAGTCATGACGCCTTCGGCAGGACCTGCTCCAGACGGCCGCTCACACAACATTCCTCTGGTTCTTCAGGTGCTCCCCACGATCATGACCCCAGTTCTGTCTTACCTCTCCAGAGCTTGTACACAGTACAGATAAGAGCTCTCAGTACACGGACTCCAGGACAGATAAGCCCCCTCAGGACCAATAATGAGAGTAGCAATAGGGGGAAGGTGGGGGAGAAAGTGGGAACTGATCACAATGATCGACGGACAATCCCTTGCCCCCAGGGGGATGAACAACAGAAACATGGTTGAAGGGAGATAGCTGGCAGATGGTGTGAAATATGAAAATAAAAATAATTTATAAATTATTCATGATTTATAAGGGTGGGAGAGAGAGGAAAAAATTGGTGCTCAAGTAGAAAATGTTTTTGAAATGATGGCAACATGCATACAAATGTGCTTGATACAATTGATGTATGTATGTATGGTGATAAAGAGCTGTAAGAGCCCCCAATAAAATGATTTATTAAAATTAAAAGAAAAGGGGAAAAAAAGAAAGAGACCTTCACTCAACCTCGCTCTCCCCATAGCCCGTGACCTGGGGGCAGTAGGGGACTGAGCGTGGATGACACAGTAAGCCCACCAGTGCGCACCCCCCATCTCTTGCAGGGTTCCCGGGGGCTGTACGCTGACACCTCCAGCCCGTTTGGAAGTCCTGGGTGGTCTCCCTCTGGAGAGGCCAAATCTGGATCGGAATTGGGGCTTCATTAAGGTGACCAGATTTTAACATTGGTAAAGCAGGACACCATTGATAAAACTCATATCCTGGCATAATAGCCACATGGCAGCCGAAAACCATATACCCTAGCTTGTCATGCATTCTTTCCAAAAATCGGGACATTTTAAAAATGCTGCGGGACACGGGAAAATTTGTTTAAAATCCGGAGGGTCCCGCCAAAAGCGGGATGTCTGGTCACCTTATTCAAGTTGCAAACCATCACCATGCCCAGTGAGTCTGGGCGTGTGCTCTTCACCCTGCACTGCAGGTAGAAGGCATTCTGCCTGGCCAGCTTCCAGCCGGTTTTATCCCATACCGCCTCCCGGACCCCCAGCCACATTTGCTCCCTCAAGAGTAGCAGTGACCAGGCCTGGGAACAGCAGCACCCTGCATCAAGAATTCTTTTGTTTACACTTTTTATTATTTGGGTGATGTTGACAGAGCATATTGGTTTTCTATCCAACAATCCACAAACATTTTGTCTTATGGACAGGAATTGCAATCCCCACAACACAGCCTTCTCCCCACTTCCACTCCCTCCTGTGAGACGTATCTATCCCTGGACCGCTGCTACCCTTTGCTTCTTGCAGGGTAGATTGTCCTAAGGGTGCTGCACCCCCAGGTGTCGCTGTTTACCCTACAGGCCTGTCTGTTGGATTGCCTGAAAATTGGGCCCCCGGGGTAAGTTCAGGTTCAGGCTTGAAGAGTGACTACTAGTGAGTCTCAGACCAGCATGTCTGGTCTTTTTTGTGGTTTTGAGCTTTGTCCCACACTGAAGCATTCATTTTCAATCTCTGAAGAGGCAGTAACTAGCAAGAGGGGAGGGAATCCCTGAGAGGAGGCTGCCTGCAGAGGGCAAGGGGGCATCAGCTGGGGCTGACCCTGCACCAGGGACACTGTGAAATCCCTTGTAGCCTGGAGAGTTCTGAACAGAAATCAAAACTCCAGGTCCTCACAGGAAGGGAACTTTAATCAAGACTTCGAAAGCCTAGAACCCTTCCGTGAAAGGATGGGAAAAGGCAAAACAAAACAAAATGTTGCCTCCGACTAAGCTAGACTGCCTGCCTGCCCGCCTGCCTGCCTGGGCAGTAGCTCAGGGTTTGCTGGGGAGGAGGGGAGAGAAAGGGGAGGCCTTAACCATAAACCATTCCTCAAACAGATTGGGAGCACTTTACACTACCTGTGTGGCCTGGAAATATAAGCCCGTTTGAAATATGGCTAGTCGGCAGTGACTCCAAGCACCTGACAGATAGGAGCTGGCCCAGATGCCCTGGAAGACCGTCCACCCCACCCACCCCCAGGCCTCCGACGACTCGCCTTGACAGCACCGTCCCCTGATGAGAAGCAGAAGCAAACCCAGGAAGACACTCGGGGCAGAACAACGCACGTCTGCATTTTG